CCGTTTCCGCCTCTTCTTGCGCTTCTGGTGTTTGCTGGAGGCCTGCGCGCCCGCCTCGCCCGCGCTGTCCGAGTCCTTGGCGCTGTCGGACGTGAGGGACTCGCAGTTCTGCAGCCGCAGGTCCGACTCGCTCTCCACGTAGCGCTCCACCTTGATCTGCATGGGGCCCAGGGCACTGAAGCCTTCCTCGCCCGCCTTGGGGTTCTCAAAGTCCGAGTGCTCGAAGCTGTCGTCGCTGTCGCGACTGTCTGGATTGCTGGAGCTGTGGCCTTGGTCATTGCAGTTCATGTCCTGGTCGCACGTGCTGCCCGACTTCTTCCGGTCGGGCTCCGGGTCTTCGCTGTTCTCAGACTGGTTCCCCTTCTCATCGGACTTGGAGTTCTCATTGTCCTCTGCGTGGGGCCGGCGGGGGCCGGGCGTGGTGGGGAGGGGAAGAGGAGACAAAGGAGACACCACATTAGCAGCGCCAGGCTCATCTCTCACCTGCTGGGGGGTGGGGGGATGTGTTGCGGCCCTGAGCTGCTCCACCATCTTGATGCCCTGCTTTCTCTCTTGAGGGCCTAGGTTAGCTGGACCTTTACACAACGTGTGGTCCATGGCCCAGCAGCACTGGCCGGACCGGACGCTTGCTGCAAATGCAGAGTCCTAGGCCCCCACCTATCAGATTTTGTATTTGAATAGCCCTAGACAGTGGTCAGCAAACTCATTAGTCAACAGAGCCAAATATCAACAGGAAAACGATTGAAATTTCTTTTGAGAGCCAAATTTTTTACACTTAAATTATATAGGTAGGTACATTGTTATTAACTTAATTAGGGTACTCCTAAGGCTTAGGAAGAGCCACACTCAAGGGGCCAAAGAGCCATATGTAGCTCTTTGCCCACTACAGCCCTAGGAGACTCACAGGTACATTAATGATCGAGAGGGCCTACAAACCTACTCGAGGGAGTCAGAGTAAATATCTTAGAATAAGGTGTGAGTGGCGCAGAAAAATGGTGTGTAAGGTGATTGTCTAAAGAGGTCTTGCACCTTCCACTGGTGACTAACCGTTCATTGAAAACCATATTCTTTTCCTAAAGTTATTTTTCTCTACAGTATTTACCGCCATCTGATCCACCGTTATGTTGTATTCATTTTTATTTACTTCTATCTCTTCCAACTAGAATATAAGCTCCGTGGGGCAAGGAATGTTTGCCTTTTTGGCCCACTGTATAAATGAGGAGCAGAGGCTGTCTCTTCTAGAACTTCTGCCCCAGCACAGAACTTTCAAATGAATGCAATTTAGGGGACAGGAAAACAGTCATATCCTCCCGGGCTTCCCTGAGGCTGTGTCTGGAGTGGAGGGATATTGTTTACAAACCTGGAGAGCAGGTTCCCTAAGGCTGGGGAGTGGCCCAGAACCCTAGCTACCCAACACATTTTAGGCAGAATAGAATTTCCCAGGAATACAACCTCAGAAGACTTAGGGATGATGCTGGTTTTATGGCTCTGCTGTGATGCTTTTGTATGGCAGGCAGGACTAGAACCTTGAACAAAGCATGTAACTACTCTGGCCTTCCTTTCCGTGGCCAAAGAGGCTGGGTTAGAAGAGGCTCAGGGTTTTGGGCAGCTGTGAGATTCTGTGAGATCGGTGCTCCCTGGCTCTGTGTGTCTGTGAAGGGGCCCAGGGCTTGGAGGAAAGGTAAATTTTTTATATTAATTTTCCTGTGCTCCAAAGAACTCAGAAAGCCTACTTCTCAAATAACTAGAAATGGGTTTGCCTTGCAGAGATTCAGGAAATGAGTAACAGTCCAGCACCTGAGTCATTACCAATGGCATTAAGTATCTCACTTTAGAGGCTTCATTCCAGCTTGGTGAGGATGTGGATTTTTGGGGTGCATAGTCAGAGTCTGTCTTTGAGCATCAGAGACAGCCCTGCTATCTGCTCTGGTAAAGAGGCCAGCCCTCACTATGGGGTTAGGGCAGGGCCCCTTCTGTAAGGCCAGTGGAGGACTGACATGAAGTATATTTGTGTACATATTTATACACTACAGTATATCTATATGTATGTAAACATATCACAACATACATATAAGTATATATGTATACACATAGATGTATGTATATATTCATACACTATCACATGTAAATATAAGTATTGTATGTGTATACGTATGTGTGGTGGTATAAGTGCAGTGTTTGTATGCATATGTGTGTAGAAGGAGAGACTCAGTAATACCTTGAGGCGGCGTATGTCTTAATATAAAATCTGACCAGTTGCTGTGCTCCGACGGTGGCCCTCTGCCGTGCCCCACCCCTTGTGTTCGGAAAGGCAAGCTGTAACTGCAGAACACGGAGAAGCAGTAATACCTGTAATACCTGAGGTGTCTTTAGAGTCTGACTCAGAGTCCGATGTCTCTGAGGATTCTGAGGTTTTCTCTGGCAGATGGGGGAGCTGCGCGATGTCCATCGGGGTGTCCTTGTACTCGGGGTTACTGCGGGAGGGAGGGAGACTCGTGAGGAGTGCAGGCACCCATTCTGTAGAGTTTGCTTTTCACCATCTTCTTCCCATTTCCTCGCCCCAAACTTTTGGAGTTGAGAGAGTGTAAACGACCAAACGTGAAGTAATTTCTCTGTTCATCATGGCAATTTTACAGAAGCCTGGAAGCCTGTGCTGGGGCACAGGTGCGCCCTGCTACGATGATTGAATACCCAAATGCTACGTGAAAGCCACTAACAAGCTTCTACTTAATCAGGTACCACTGGGGGCCAGGGAACTGTGCTGCTTGACATTCCTCACAGTAGAACACCTGGGGGGAAGGGAGGAGGAGAAGTGCTCTCAGCAGTTCCCTCCCATCCCTCCTGGGGTGCCCTGACTTCGCCTGGGCTCCTCATGAGTCCATTGCCTCAGTACCCTTTTCTTGGCTCCTTGATGGAGCTTCTCAGTTATTCAGATGGCTCCAAAGCTGTGGGGGGTAGGGGCAGAGCCCTGAGTGCCTAAGATCTGACAGATGCACAGGTGCACCCTGGGATGCGTGGATTATGGCTACTGAACTGTCAACACACCCATTACAATCACATTTTCATCTGTTCATGTGGTGTACACCTGTAGCTTGTTAGCTGGGAATCTGATTGCGGTGGGGAGGGTCCCAGTGTGAAAGAGACCCTAACAGAATGGATCTAACCCCACTTGCACAAACGTGTTTAACCCCTTCCCCGGCAGAAACGTGTATACTCGTTTTCACAAAATGTTCTTTTTCAGTCGTCGACGAGTATACTAAGAAAATATGGTAAAAAAAATATGGTTTATAGGAAGACGAGTTACAAACTGTTTTCATAACCAGCATCAAAAATACTATATAGAACCAAAATAAAAAAATTAGTCTGAAAAAGAAACGTTTTTAACAAAAAAATTGTTGGGGAAGGGGTTAATTTTTGTTCCATTTTAAATTCAGAAACAAGCCTTTTCTGGAAAAGAGAGGATATTCAGTCAAATTTGAGTTAGCTGTCTTCTAAAAATGCCACTCCAAGGCTGGCCCAAGGTATGAACAGTACAGGCTACTGTAACCGGAAGCCACAAGGAAAGCCTCTTGCCTCAAAATGGAAGATGCCTCTGCTATCCTTCCATAATGGCTAGCCAACCAGAGGCTCGCAATGGAGGATTACTGAAGCACTTGCTAATTTCTAGTGGAATTCCTACATTAAAGAGTCACTGGTTCAGTAACTAAAATTGCAACTGTCTCTGGGAGGGTTAATTCACTGAGATGGATTATCAGGCGCATACTCCTTAGTGTGAATTAGCTTCAACAGCAGTGCTTTCTCTAGGTAATCAGATGAGACTAATGGTGGGAAGGTAGCCTTAGCAGTAATGCAGTTTCTGAATACAAGTCTGTAATTCTACCAAGCATTGTGAGGGAATCGGAGGAAGACTGGGGAGTAATCATTTCAGAACAGAGAAGAACAAGCCTCGATGGGGCCCAGAAGTGAGAGATTCTGAGGAGGAAGAGGGAGCATGGAAATACTGCTCAAGGAAGAACAAAGGACAAGAAGGCGGGAAAGAAAAGCAAACTTGAATAGTTGCTGTTTGCCAAGGCCAGGTCCTTTTCTTACCAGATCTCTAGCCTATAGAAGGGATACCAAGGAGTTAGCACTTGGTAGAGTTTTTACTGCTAAAGCCCATCTATATTAGTCTCCTTTGGTCCAGATGGCTTGGAGGTTCACAGGTCATTTGACACTGATGGCCTGTAATTATTGAACTCAAGGGGAGTCTTTAGGTTAGCTGACACAGGCCTAGCATGTCTGAGATTGAAGCTCTTGAGCCTGAAGACTTGCCTTTGGTACCCAATCTGATTCCTTTCTCTCCATATGTAATTCGATGAACCAGAGTCACCAAACACTCATGAGCTTGTGCCATGTGGTCCTAGGCTAAACTAACAGTGTTCACCCAAAGCTGCATGGACTGACCTCTCCTTAACCCTTCTCATGCCCTCCATTTGGAGGCAGAGTAGGAAGTCATGAGGCTGAAGGTGCAGTAAGGAAGATCCAAATAGGAAGAAATCTCCCTGAATGGGAGCAACAACCACATAGATTGTTTTAGTGCCCTAGGGTACATCACCGTGGGAAACAGGCATCTTCTTATCCATGGTGTCTCTGTTACCTGTGTCTAATTCTTAATAATAATGGGTCTCCTTGGCACAACTCTATTTTTTGCCCAGGAAAATACTGTCAATGCCATAGTATCTTATCCTATTTCCTCTTTGGCATTAAGTTTATAACCTTCGGCCTGACATATTGCCACTGTCTCATAACCTTTATATAAAAGGATTTCTTGATGCCACAAACACATGATTGCATGAAATTCAGGCCTTGGAGGAATTCACATTAAATACACATACCTTTAGAGAGAATTGATGTAGAGTAGAAGAGGTCAAAAATGGGGGAAAAAAGTAGATAAATGAAGACTCTTTTAAGTGGTGCACATTAAAGCCCTCTCTAGAGCAATAATCGTTAGTGTCTGATTGATATGCTATTGGTAGCAAGCACATTCATGCCTTCAAGTCATCACCAACGTGCATGAACACACTCTGAAGGGTCAGAGTGCTGATGAGCCATGGTTGTCAGCATCTCAGCTTCATTTGGCTGTCTCAAAGAAAAATGGGATTCAAGTACTCCCTGTCTAGATTATCAGCCAAAGGGTAACAACTTCCATTCATAAGACCTATTGGAAATTTTCCTACTCAGACCATGTGTGGGCCCTGCTTGGTGGCTGCAGGCCAAGGGAAGCCAGAGATGGGAATGACAGTGGTGGAAGGGAGCCAGCTGAATGTTCAGATAGCTCCATGACAGGATTGGTGGAAAACCTCCCACAAAGCTTGCCCCCAAATGCAGACCACCCAGGCTTTGATCTTGGCTACTTTTTTTGCTAGTTTGAATCCAAAGGCAGAAAGGAGGAAGGAATGAGAAATGGTGCTGCATGCTAGAATTTAGGAAGCTTTTGAGTGTGGCCACATTCATGGATGTCAATTTGAGGGCACATTAAAAAAGTTGTAAAACTTGCCTGAGGTCACAGAATAGGCAAAAGAAGGTTGCCTTCATTTTTATACTAATACTAGAGGCTCAGTGCATGAAATTTGTGCACTTGGGAGGGGGGTCCTTCAGCCTGGCCTGCACCCTCTCAGAGTCTGGGAGCCCTCGGGGGATGTCTAACTGATGGCTTAGGACCCCTCCCTGTGGGGAGCCTAAGCCAGTAGTGGAACATCCTCCTGCATTGAGTGTCTGCCCCCTGGTGGTCAGTGTGTGTCATAGTGACTGGTCGTTCAGCCTTTTGGTTGATTTGTATATTACCCTTTTATTATATAGGATTATCTTGATTCTAGCAAAGCAAGCTACTATACTGGGGGATTCTAAGGAATGGAATACAGGAGAACTATAACATACCTTGCTTAATTTCATCCCCTTTTGCTTAATTTTCACAAGGATTGGAGTGTGTGAGTGCGTGTATGTGCGTGTGGAGAAGGGGGTGCTTTTGAAGGCATCAGTTTTAGGCAAACATCTATATTCTTTTTATGGCCTGAGCATTTTTGGGGAAACCAAAGCAGCTTCTGCAGAGCTTTCCAAATGTTGACAGACCAAGCATTATTGACAGTGTTGTGAATCTGCCCTGGAAGTCCCTTCCAACATAGCTTTGATCTTTTCACATTTCTTTGACTCTTGTGTAAAGAAAAGCAGAATTTCCACATAATTGCACACTTGATACTGTCAAGAGATAATACAGCATGCCAGTTACTAACCATTGGGATGCCTATTTTATGACTGAAAGAGAAGCAAACAAGAATTAGAAAATATACCTAAGAAGGTAATTCACCCAGATGATGTTCTTCTCATTTGCATTCTTGGCATTAATAGCTATGGTGGCACTAGACTGTATCCAGATATAGCCTCCGTTCTTCTGCATCCAGCGGTAGTACTTCGTCACACACTGGCCCTTATTCAGCACTGGGGGGAAAACAAAACAGAAGGCCCTGCATATTAAGACTGGGACCAGATGATTGTCATGTCTGCAAAAACTCAAGCTTAGAAAGGGGAGGACCGCACTGAGCCAGGGTGGCTCCCTGTATGCTTAATGTAGAAGGCCATTAGCAGAACAAATAAAATCAACAATTCAGTGGAGCAGCGTCTCCCCAGGGAGGGTTGCTAGCATTTGCAGCAAAACTTTGTTCCCTTTTGGGCAGCCATGGAGTGGAAGGAAGAATAAAAGGACTACAAATCTTTTTGGCTCACAGAATACCTAATGCAGTGTGGATATTGTCAATGGGCTCGCCATCCGATGGCAACAAAGGCAAATGTGTACGGATTTATTCATAGCTTTGAGGTAGACCTCTTTGAGATTCTGGGTATTCAAGTCGCTCCGAAGACACTTTACCCCGCCTTTGATCGTTCACCTCACGCGAGCCAGCAGTGTCAGCCCGCGCCCTTGTGCATCTGTTCCTTTTGATCTTGTGCAACAGAATTTATGGCCCACGTATGAACTAAATTTCCATTGGTCAGTCAGGGGAAATTCTGGTGAGACTTTACGGAATGTTGGAACAAAATAAATTTCCCAGCCGCGTCAGAGAGGAATGCTGGCCTAAGGGAGGCACGGAATTGACTTGGCTGGAGCCAGAGTGACAGCTCCACACAGACTCTGAAATATGGCCCCAAATGAAGGAACAAGTAAAAACAATCAGTAATGTGAAACGGTGCCATTAAATACCCACCGAAAGAGAGCTTTAAAATGCAGATGTTAAAAATGATACTTTAACCAAAATCTTGCCAAGTCGAAATTGATTTGACTTGTATCTGGGTACTCCTGAGCTAGTAAAAGGGGGAAATGCACTAAATCATCCCTGAAATAAAGTGCTACGGGTGGGAATGGTTTAAAAAGATGCCGGAAACGTGCAAATCCTCTGCTATTGCTTGGATACGCATGGCAGCGACTCCACACCCCCCAGCAGCCTGCCAGCTGGCTGGCCACTAGAGGGCAGTGTGCACTCGTCCACATCACCCACTTTTGGCATGTCCTTGTCTCTGTCTGCTAAAATGAAAAAGCTCTAACTGCTGTAATAAATTTGGCTAAATTAGCTGCTAAATGGTTATCTCAAGTAATATGTATTTGCATTAATCATCTTGCTCTAAACCAGAACAAGCCAGAGTCCTAAAGACGTAGTAAATTCATATTGTCCATTTAATTACGGCTAATAAGTGCTTCATATACAATAGTTTCATGAAGTACATTTTGATTTTTTTTTAGCGGGGGGGGGAGGGTATAGGAGTAAAGGGAAGTCACTTTGGAAAAGAGCTGTGTTTAAGGCTGTTGAAGCACTTTGCTGTCATGTCTGAGCCACTCTTCCTGACCCCCAAAAGCGATCAAAAATCAAACCTCCACCTATTATATCCATAAACATATAAACTTCAATGCCTTCCTCCCATTTCTCACTTTTTCTCACAACAGACTAAATGGATGGTTGTAAAGTTGAATAATTATATATCTTAGCAGTTGCTTGAGAAAGCCTTGCTTTGATGAGGACTTCAAGTAGTAGCAAGTTCTATTCCATAACCAATTGACAGCTTAGGCTGGCTCTAAGTCCCGGGACTGTCGTCGGCTGGTGGCCAGGCTCCACAGGTAGCATTGCACTCGCCTTTTGTGGGCGATGGAAAGTTCTGCCATTCTGCATGCATGGCTTCCCGGGCTACAAGACCACGCGGTGAAGCTGAGAGCAGTAAAATACGAACTCTGCCGCACAGCTCTCTGTCAAGCTATTGTTGCCTGCAACGAGATGTGCTTTATTCAAATCCTCTCAACCTGGTTAACTGTTAATAGAGGAGAGATGGGTTATGAAATTCCGCCCACTATTTTCACAGGGAAAGTTGATAGCCCCCAATCAAGGATTGGTATATAATTCTATCAGCTGTGTAACTGGAACAAGGAGTTATTCTGAATGGTTCTAGTTATTTAACAAAGGCAAAGAGCCTAACAAGTCCATGTTTTAAAGCACACGAAGAACACACTGAGATGGTAGACCACTTAGACGGCTGGGGAGTCTGGATTTTTGACCCAAAGCAGGCAAATTTAAAATACATGTATATCACCAGAATACTTTGCATAGAAAGGGTCAAAGTGAGAACGGAATTATAGCCAAATTAGAATGTACAGAATCAACATAAAGATCAGCCCCTCTTCTTAATACTTTCTCTTACTTAAAGACAATCAAAGAAACAAAAATCTCAAATTTGAAATGCAAAACCAGCAAAATGTCTCCCTCCCTGCTGGGATCCCTGCTATGCGATGGAAGGGTGGTGTCATCTTTTTGCGTTAAGGAAGTTTGACTCTTGGTGTGCTTTAGTGCATCTGTGCTTCCTGAGAAGATAAAAACAAATTTATTATGAATGAATGAATACATTAATACAGCCTTCTTCATCACCCAGGCCCAGGGCCATCTAGTAAAGGGGGGAGACCTACTGAAAGAGTCAGGCCAGGTAAATTTTGATGTGAGGAAGTGGTTGAAAGGACTGACAAGGGGTTCCTTGGGCGTCAGGAGCTAGTTGAGTGCCTTAACTTACCCTGGTGAATGCCACAGAGCAGATATGGGAGCCCACCTTTGGTAGGCTGAAGAAAAGTTTGACTTAATCCATTACTCCCCCCCCCGCCCCCACCAGCCTGACAAACATAATTCTTAAAAGGTAACCATTTTACCATGGTCTTAGGTCATAACTGTTTCCTAAGGATTAGTGTTTTCTGAATGAGACCCCACGTGCTGGTGCGAATCTACATAACCAGGATAAGGGACTGAGTTAGCTCCCACTGTGGCATCCAATGATGATCAGAGTATTGACCAGTGGCTTTTGCTTTTCAAGAGGCCCCCTAAAGGAGGTTATAGTGGAATTTTATTTCGTTTAAAATAAACAAGAAAAATATTTTTCTTGGGGCTCCAGAATATAAATCTATGACTTTTGGATGAGACTCCCGCTCTTTTTTTTTTTTTTTTTAAATCATATTGGCATATCAGCTAGATCATTCCAGCTGGGCCAGAGGCAGGGTCTGCCAGCCTTTCCTGAGCTCACCTTGAAGGAGATTTTTAGTTTGTAATAAATTAGACAATTTGAAAAACACAAAAACTTTTTTGATTCTCTTCAATCCAGTAGCTGTTGTTTTTATTTTTGAGTTTTAGCTTGTGATAGAAATGAGAGGGTGTTTGTATCAGTGTATTTCATTAAGGTTTTTTTTGTTGTTTTGTGTTATTTTTTTTTAAAATATATTTTATTGATTTTTTACAGAGAGGAAGGGAGAGAGACAGAGAGTTGATTTTTTTTTTGTTTTGTGTTATTTTTTGTGAGGAAAAACAGAAATAAACATGATGTAAGTCATTTGTTGTGAAAGTCCTTAAAATATGGTTAATTGTCCTTTGAAAAGAGTCTGGGAGTAATTTCATAGTAATTTCATAACAATGTGCTCAAACTATAAAGAATGGAACTAGAGAGAGAGGAAATGCATGTGTGGGCCCTATTTTTAAACTGATGTCATGATGTGGTCGGACACTTAACCTAGCACCTTCTTTGTGATTTATGCCCACGTCCACTGCTTGCTTTCACACTTTTTGGTGGTGCAGCCTGTGTGTCCCTCACTGAATTCATTAATCACATCATCACATCTGTAGAATTACGTCTTTAAAGTTGTGCTATAGGAATTAGTTTTTATTAAAGGATCCCCAAACATTGAAGTGGTCTTTCCTTAGCTTGTATAGGACAAACATGAATACAGAGGGAGGATGAGGACCTCTTTCCCAGGGTCACTTACAACCTCAAAGGGTCCCAGGTGTGTCTGTGATGCCTCTGCTACCATGTAGAGCCAGCTCCTTTTCACCCTGAAGTCTAGGGTGTAACCACTGCTGTGTCTGCCATCACTACCAGGAGAACCATGAACCTGGCGTCAGTACCACCTACCTTCCAAGCTAAAGGTGCCTGAGTAACAAACCGTGTTCTTCAGAGGAGAGAGGCGACTCCACTGTGAGAACAACACAATACAGACAAGAGCCGTAGCTCCTGCTGGCTGCATTGTTCCAGGCCTGCTCATCTCACTAGCCATGGCTGGCGGCATCAGAACACCATCCACCCCAACCGTGAAGGGGGTGGCGAATATGGATCAATCAAAAGGACATTGCACAGAGCCAACGTTACAGAACACGTGGCTTTTTACATCAAATACAACCCTGCCCCCACTCCCCATTCCCCAGTATTATTCAATATCTTTTTAAAATGTTGCCGGTTCAATGGATTTGGGCTTGCTGGTAGGGATGCAAGAAATGTACTGCCGTCCCCCCAAACCTGAGGGCTTTTGCTGAAGCATACAGCCATGGCTCTGCAGTTACCAACAAAAGCCGTTCAGTTGTGTGTTTTTTTTGGGAAAACTTGGTCCACAAAGATAGACTGAGGACTGAAAGGACATAAAGGAAGCCTGTGTCTGTGGCAGGAACATAATTCTGTTCGTAAATCAAAACAAATCGGTCCAAGTTTGCCTTCAGAAATATGGAGAATAAAAGAGAACATGGTCTCTTCCTGTTGGGCTGTTCTACAAAATCAAAGCCAAAGACTCTAAATAGTGAGTTGCTTGTGTCTTAGAAAGAAGGAAGCAGTCTAATTCAGCCTGAAGAGGAGATGGAGAACACGCATCAAAAGCGGCCTTTTAGCGAAGTGTCTCACAAAAGGACATTTTAGTGGTTTGCATATGCATTAAAAAGCTGCAATACTTGGCGTATTCAGGTAAGTATAGAATAAATAGGAAATGGTGAGATCATCGGAGATTTCACACTTCACATTCACAGGGCTGAACAAAGAGCTTCATTATCGCCTGGCGATAGGAGGACGCATCTGCCGCGCCATTCACCCCTCCTGAGGTACCTTCATCAATGGCTGCAGAGAATGGAGAGCAGATGCCTTGTGCTGGAACTCAAAATTATTTT